CCTGCTACTTTGCAGCTTGTCATGACCAGCACACCACTCCCTGGCATATGGTGGCACCCTCGTTGCCAGCTCTATCGCTGGCAAACATATTCCCACATATGCACGTATAAATTCCATTTATCTGTATCTTTATTTTTTTTTTCCCCCTCAAGACAGGGTTTCTCTGCATAGCCTGGGCTGACCTGGAACCTTACTCTGTAGATAAGGCTGGCCTCAAATTCACAGATCTGCCAGTCTCTCCCTCTGAGTGCTGGGATTAAAGGCGTGTGCCACACTACTGCCCAGCTCATTTATCTGTGTTTTAAAACAAACTGGGGGTGGAGCCTGCGGTTCTATGAATGCTGAAGAAGCATTTGTACCACCAAGTTACATGCCCAGCCCTTCTCTCTCTCTTTTTGGAAGATCTCACCATGTAGCCCTGCCTGGTCTGTAATTCCCCATCTGCATGGCTGGCTCTTGGGAGTCTCTGCCTCTGAGCATGGGATTAAAAATTGCATCAACAGCCAGGCGTTGGTGGTGCATACCTTTAATCCCAGCACTCGGGAGGCAGAGGCAGGAGGATCTCTGTGAGTTCGAGGTCAGCCTGGTCTACAGATCGAGTGCCAGGATAGTCTCCAAAGCTATACAGGGAAACCTTGTCTCAAAACAAAAACAAAAACAAAAACAAAAACAAAAACAAAAACAGTTGCATCAACCCCTGGCTTCCCAGCCCTTCTTAAAACTTTTTGCACTTGACATTAGAGTCACTACGCCCAAAATGGCCTTGAGTTTTTGAACCTCCTCATTCAGCCTCCAGAATAGCTGTGATTACAGGCTTAGACAACCAGAGCCAGCTTGGATTTTTCCATCTTTCAATGACTCTTGGTCATTATCATTGCTGTGAAACCTTGACTGCTTCTTCTGGCTACCTAAATGAGAAGGATTTCATTCATGTTTGCTGCTTTTTGGTGAAGTTGGCATTTTTGGAACCTATCCTGGCACTCGCTCTGGATACTAGGCTGGCCTCGAACTCACAGAGATCTGCCTGCCTCTGCCTCCCGAGTGCTGGGATTAAAGGCGTGCGTCACCAACGCCCGGCTTCACTTAGCTTTTTTAAAATGTATTCATGGTGCAATTATGCCCAAGGTCACAAAAATACATTTTTGACAATGTGGACTAGCCATGAGCAGTGGACGACACCTGTATCCCAGCTCCTCTTTAGGCTGGCTAAGGCAGGGCTATCACTAGAGCCCAGAAAAATTAATTCTAGAAAACCTCTTTAAAGCACACACACACACACACACTGGGGCTGGAGAGACGGCTCAGCCCTGAATGCTCTTCCAGAGGACTTGGATACGATTCCTAGGACCCACACAGCCACTCACAAACCACCTGTAGCTCCAGTTCTAGGGGATCTGATGTTTTTCTCTGTCCCCCACGAGCACGGTTTAGTAGAAGAGTCAGATATAGTTTAACAGAGTCCCACTCACTGAGGACCGCAGCTGTGGTTTCATGAGCTCCCAATGAGTACCAAGTTCTAGATGCAGTTGAGTCCATGAACAAATGGAAATGAGAGTGTACAGGTAACATCAGCCAGTCAGTGTTTGTGCACGCCTTTAATCCCAGCACTGGGCAGGCAAAGGCATCAAACTAAGAAGACCCCATAGCCCGGGTCTCAGCTGGAGATAACAGGATTAGGATCTGCCTGGAAATTTGGTAACATGAAGGTCAGCTGGCGACTGGGGATGCTTAGGCTTAAATCG